TCTTTTCGGCCGCGAGCAGGTGCTCCTCTAGGAGGGCGACTGTGAGCTCAGTGGGACAGCGAGCAAGGAAGTGGTCTCGAACTGAGCGGAGGGTGTCAGGGAGACGGGTGACTATGAAGTGGAGTGTCCAGTACAGTGGAGGGGGGTTCTTAGCGCAGAACTCGGTGGGAAGGGCGGCACGCAGGCGAGCATCACTAGTGCGAAGGTGGGTGATAAGATCGGCGACTGTAGTAAAGGTGGACAGATCGGGGAACAGGTACGGCAGCATGAGGCGGCTAAGCTCGGCTGTGGCAGGCGAGGAGTAGCGAGCAACGACAGCATCGTACAGGGCCTTAGCGGATTTGCAGTCGCCAAAATGCTCGAGCTCAGCTAGCGGCAGGTGACTGCGAATGGCTAGGCGAGCAGCTGCGTCACGAGTCTGCCAGTGGGAACGAACACTAAGCTCGGCTGTGGCAGCAGGAGCAGCGGCAGCACCAGACGCGTAGTCATAGAGGGAGATGTGGTCCGTGCTATTGCTCATAAGATACAACTGCAGGTCGTCGAGCCAGGAAGTGAACTGCACGGGACGGCCCTCAGCATCGAAGGAAAGAACGCGAATAGAGGCCATAGCGCAGGCGTGGGGGGCACAGCAGAGCAGCGGCAGCAGCAGAGGGGACGCGCTAGAGCGAAGCTAGCAGCCACAGCAGGAGCAAGCGGCGGTGCACAGGCAGGGAGCAGCAGGCGAGAAGCGCGGCGGGCGGGCTGCGAAGCGGGCAGTGGGGCGGGCGGGCTGCGAAGCGGGCGGGCCGCGAAGCGGGCAGCGAGCGGGCGGGCGGGCTGCGAAGCGGGCGGGCCGCGAAGCGGGCAGCGAGCGAGCGGGCTGCGAAGCGGGCGGGCCGCGAAGCGGGCGGGCCGCGAAGCGGGCAGCGAGCGGGCGGGCGGGCTGCGAAGCGGGCAGCGGGGCGAGCGGGCTGCGAAGCGGGCGGGCCGCGAAGCGGGCAGCGAGCGGGCGGGCGGGCCGCGAAGCGGGCAGCGAGCGGGCGGGCGGGCTGCGTAGCGAGCGGGCCGCGAAGCGGGCAGCGAGCGAGCGGGCTGCGAAGCGGGCGGGCCGCGAAGCGGGCAGCGAGCGGGCGGGCGGGCTGCGAAGCGGGCAGCGGGACGAGCGGGCTGCGAGCGGGCGGCTCGGCGGGCGGGCGACACTGCGAGGGGCGCGCGAGGGCGCTAGTGAGGGGCGCGCGAGGGCGCTAGCAAGGGGCGCGCGAGGGCGCTAACGAGGGGCGCGCGAGGGCGCTAACGAGGGTGCGCGCGAGGGCGCTAACGAGGGGCGCGCGAGGGCGCTAACGAGGGCGCACGAGGGCGCTACGAGGCTAGGGCACGGGGTAGCGTGGTAACCGCATGCGAGCGGTGGTGGGCCCTAAAAAACGGTCGGTAGGTCCTAGGGACCTCCTGCTCTGAATACCATCTCAGAATAACTAGGCAAGAATGGTGTATTGAATGGAAGAATTGGGTACAAGTAGCAAACCCTAGTTGGGGTTGTACCCCATATTGGCTACCCCACTACAGCCTACAAGCATAATACAGTTTAACACTTATGGCAAAACGCGCGCGATTAGTTCTCTCCGCCATGCACGAATCTCGAGCGCCGGAACATCGACGGTGCGCGCGGCATTTGTTACCAGTACTCCGCGTCGCGCCCTATCTAGGTGCTTACCCCATGGCGCGGCGTGTGTTGAGGAAGCTACGTGATTCCTTCACAGCTCGATGCGCAGGTGCGGGACGCTCCTCGCTAACCACCTGGTGCGAGCGCAATGTAACCTCAGGTCGGGACGCTAGATGTCGGAACGTTGCCACTGCCGTCGCTGCCAAGTGCCACTTGGCAGGTGGATATACTTGTCCATGTTGGCACACGGCTAGGCCACACACAAAACAATATCTGCTCTTTGATTATTGGCCAACCCTGATTTTCCCCTTTGACGTGTTGGATACCTATCACGCAACCCACCAAGCTTCAGACCCAGCTAGATAAAGACATTCTTTCGGACTCTCCACACTTCTCATTCGCGCACCGTACTCTATCTCCATACCGCCATGGCTATGCAAGGGCACGGCCAAGGAGGCTATGTCAACGAGGGGTTTGGCCGTCTTGACATGTTTGTAGGGCGAACCCCCAGGTCGACCCAGGGCGTACACTCACAGTGGTTGAATGACGATTATGATTTTTCCAGCGGAATTATGTACCTCCCCGTCCCAGGGCAAGCGTTCAACCAAAGCCACCACCTAACCGCGGCCTTGCCAGCGTCAGGCACCGTGCGCACCATGCATACGCGCACCCAGCGCCAAGTGCGCTCGCGACTGTCGTCCCCGCGGCCCGGTCCAACAGAGCACGGCGAAGAAGATCTGGATGTTGCGTATACGATGACGGTGCAATCCCCACAAAAGTATGTGGTCATCATGTTCCCTCATGCTGCACCTCGCATTTGAGTTCGCTGTAGGTCTCTCGCCACGCACGCGCTCGATGACGGAGCTAGTGGCGAGTACCCCTGCCACCCAAATGCCTACCAACTACGCTGGAGGGCGGGGTCCGCCATCAGCGTAGATGGAAGGCGCTCCTGACCAGCGCGATGCCGACGGTGCGGTCGAGCATGGGTGGGCCCGTGAGCCCATGCCTCAGGATCTGGGGGCCGCCCATGAACACATCCGTCGCCAAGATCGCGAAAGGGCGCGCCTGGAGAACCAGCTCCGAGACTACGAGGTCAGGCGACGGTGGGCAATGCAAGCTTTCCAAACTGGGGAGGCTGCACCGCGTGACCGTGGCGCGTATGCGTCGCATGGTGCAGCAACTCCTGCTGCAACGCCTGCTGCACAGGATACCCGTCCCATGTCCTTGGCCACGGTGCGGGCGATTTCGGCGGAGTGTCATGTGAGGGGGACTCCCTCGATTCTGGACAGCCTCACACCCGCACAGCTGACATGGGCGTCGCGACTCATCCGCGCAATGTCGCAAATCCCCGATATGCACAATGGCTGGCAGGTGTGTTGTAGTGGTTTTATTTCCCCCCCACGCAGCCCAACCCCTCTCTGCCTTTTTGTTTTTCGCATCAATGTTGCTATGATGAACGCATAGGTACCCCCTCTTCAGCTTTGTATGAGACACAAGGTGTGTGGCGGTTGTGGTGTTGTGTGCCTAGTTTTCACCCCACAGGGTGGCACGGTCCGAGCATAGGCAGGAGGGAGTGGGGCAGGAGCTATTTCTTGGTCCCTCCCAAGCACTCCCCACTGGCCCATTCATTGCAATACCTTAATCCCCCCTCTCACTCCTCTGTTATCCCCCCTGTGCCTCTCATCCGTGCTTCCTTGCCTAGTTTTGTGCTCTCACGTTGGCACAGTCCGAGCATACCCAGGAGAGTGTGGGTCTCTGAGCATCCTATGGTGTCTTCCCATGCCCTTCCGAACCACCCATGCAGTCATAACCTTCGTTCCCCCTCTCACTTCTTTTTGTTTTCCCCTGGTCCTCTCATACTTGCTTCCTGGCCTAGTTCTCCCCTCTTTTTTTTCCTTCTGGTCCTCTCTTTTTAGCACAGCCCGAGCATACCCAGGACCTGAGTGGGGCAGCACCATCCTCTGGTGTCTCCACAGTGCCCGTCTCATAAACCCATGCAATCATAACCATCGTCCCCCATCTCACTTCGCATGAAGCTGCCATTCACCTTCGATGACCTACCGGCCCCACCTCTCTCCCACCCTCTCACCTCTCTCCATCGCAGGGTTTTGCGGCGGAAGTCATCGCAATCATTGTGTACGGGACCCCGTCGAGGAGGTTGAGCATGTGGCCCGACGAAGATTCGGTGGAGCTTGCATTTCTCAAGTCAATTCACTTGTGTGTGGACGATGCTCGTGTCATGGTCCACATGACGCTCCGGAATGATCCGGTCCGTCGTCGTTATTTGACGGACAAGCTGGCCAAATGTCGGGCTAACGTGCTTGACCAGGCTCGAACGTGAACATTCCTCTGGTTCGGACTCCCGTTCAAAGTCCCGAAGCAGTCCCGTGCGCACAAGCCGCACGTTATTGCTGTCATTACCATCACCTTCAAGGAGTTCAGGGACACGTATGCTGCAGGTATGTACCCCATCATTCACCCCCGGTGGCCATGAAATGCATGCCACATTCCCTCGTTATCGTGGTATGACTCCCCCCCAACTACCACCAGGCAAGCATGTTCACGTCCCCTCACCGTCTTGCTTGTTTTTGCTTGATAGCTTCGATCATGTCGGTTCTAGCCCTTGTGCCAGGACATGGCCTGCCTGGCACGGGACCTGACCCTATTGCCTCTGCATGCTTTGCTTGGGTCTGGGCCTGCCCTATTCCCACCGCATGATTTTGTTAGATAATAACCTGTCTAGTCTTTCCGCTACCCTTCCTGTATGTTTTTGCAGACGAGAGCAGCCACGGAAATCTCACGTGGACTCGCGAGCCTCATGCCGGAGGCCTCCCGTTCTCACACCCGGCTTTCGAGACCGGGCTGCACAAGTCCTTCTTCAAGGGCAAGCCCATGCCTGTGGTTGTCAAGCTATACCACATAGCTTACTACCTGACAGGGGTGAGTTGTGTCATGGTGCAGCCATCTTTGTTATACCGGTCTCATGTTACTTAATGTTGGTTCTAATGCCATACCTCTGTGTTACAGCGCAGGCCCAAACATCGCTCTTGTCGCCACTTACCTGCGCAAGGTGACAGCGTGTTGCAGGGCGGCGATCATGGCGCCGTCCGTGAATGGTAGCGGACCTTGGTACATGGTCAACGAGAAGGCTTGGGCCTTCTCAAGGAGCGAGACGATCCTCATATCGACGGATGGGATCGAGGAGACTGAGGGCATTAACCGTGCTCCGCAGCCCGCAGGCGCTCCCGTGGCTTGAGCCCTTGTTGCCGCGGCATTCAATCTTAGTGATATGTCGTGATGGGACGTTTTGGTACTACAGGGCAAAGGGATGGTCTTTCACCATGGGTGGGCTGGCGTCCTGATGATGTTTGGGGCTTACTGTTGCATGTTGACAATCCAGGGGGGGAGGAGAGTTGGTGGTGCTCATAGGACAACACTTAGGTGCTCACATCTGCTACTCTCACCCTAGTTGCAAGCTGTAGTTACAAATGAGTATGGATGATGTCCTCAACCCTATTGGCTCTGTTATGTGGTTTCTTTTGTTGCTCATGTATCCTGCATTACACTTTAACACATTTTGTGAACTTGTGGTGAGCTTGTGTAACTTACCTTCTTTTGTTGAAAGAGGTTATTGCTGGTTTGATCGATAGATGTACCATATTTGGTACAGTCCCCTACCCTAACGGTCGCGACACACAATGTTGCGAACAGAACTTGATGGGTGACTGCGTGATCTCAGCGACCAATCAACGTTCTCAAATGAAACCTTTGTTGTGAAGCTGGCTCTCAGCTCGAAAGAGGTGAGATACGTAATAATCCAGTTTCGAGCGCATAGCAGTCATTTCCATAGCACAACAGCTGTCTTCGTGTGACATTAGCGTCCCCGTTCGGCTAAGGCAACGACTGAAGCTTCTCCATAGGCGTTTGAGCTACATCGCAGCCATGGCTCGAAGGTGGGCGTTATGGCAACGAACGCTCGCATCCTTGACCAACGAAGACGATTAGTGCTATCGTTTAATGTCTGGCATTGTTACTGAAATCCCCCATGTCCACGCACCCCGTCGTGTCCATACAGATTCTCTGCCGGCGTGTGCAGACGATGGCTCTCCCTGGACCTCCCTCGATTAAGCGCGGCTGAGTAGTTGCGCCTGCTTGATGTCAGGAACGGGCACACCTCCTTGTGAACGTGCTGCGGGTGCGTATCGCGTACGATCCATTTCGTTCAGCCCTATTGGTGGACAGGATTGTATGTCTCGTTCAATGCGAATAGAGTCGCTCCACGATTGTTTGGTTTCATGCAGCTGCTAACATTGGCGCTAATCTTCGGTCAACATTACCTGCTTTCATCCCTAGTGTGATGTTGCCTGCACTCAAAGGCCGAGTGGTGCGACAAATACACGACGCGTGGTAAGTTGCTTTGACCAGAGGGTTTCTCTGTAACCCTTCATTTTCAGTCGACGTTGATGCTAACTCACACCCTGCAGCCTTTCGACAGGTGTTATCGACGGTGAGTATTCCCCGATCGCGTAACAGCATCCTTTGCCGCGAATGTTGAAGGTGAGATGCCGTGCTGTGACATGTCTCCTAGTGTCGCCATACGCTTTCAACCGCTGTATGGCGGTGTGCTGTCAGTGATGTTGTGCGCTCGTCTCAATTCGAGGGCAGTTTCACAACCGTAATTCTTCTGGAATCCTATTCACCACACTCACGCACCTCCTAGCCTTTTGCTTTCGATGTGGCTTGTTGAATTAGGGTACGAAGTTGGGCATGGGATGAAGACGCTTTGTTACGAAGCCTATTAGTGGCTGCCTGGACGACTTCACTCTTGTGGCGCAAGCCCTCGCTGTCATTCATGTTTCTCAGATAGTCTTGTCAGGGATGATCCCCCCTATTTGCGATGGTTTGTTGTGTTCCTGTGACGGGACGTAGTTGCCCCACGCTAAACACTCCTAGCAAGGCACACGTAGTTGTTTGTGAAGTTTACTGGAAACCAGATGCTAGAGCCAGAAGAACAAGCGCAGCTGTATCTATGGAAACTGAACGCCAAGGCCTAACGTGGGTTTCTTCATGGGAGTACTGTCAGTAGGTTGCCCAAACATAGAGCCCGCCAGCTCGTGAGTCGGGCCGCCACATTTTAGGCCAGGCGTTATAAGACACCATGGAAATGTTTACGTCTGTACACTATAAACACGCAACGCATATGAATACACTCAAACGCTCGTTACAAGGAATGTTCTAGAAACTATCTATTATTCGTTCCCTTGGTATAAGAAATATTACAGTAACGAAAATGTAAAATTAACCTTGTATTAGTAGAGCTCATGTTGGTAACGAGTCGGACTACAGCGAATCACATTCGAGTGTGCCTTTATCGACGGTTCGTTTGTATCACAAATCAGTAGCTATGGAATTTAAAAAAAACATTCACTTAGGTCGACACCTCAGCTCTTACCGAGTCGGCTTATGAGGCCGTGCCTCGGCTGGTTCATTTTCAAAGGTATATCAAAATGTGTTTCTGCGTGCGGAGAGTGTAATTGTGCATGCCCTCCAACGCTTCTCGAACCGTTTACAACGGGCAGTAGGGCGACATGTGATTCGCTCCCGCAGGGTGGGAGGGGTCCCCTGTGGGTCACCACCAGTGAACGGCCTCGGGGTCACCAAACGAAGTGAAAGCTGCAGAGGTCACCCGCGGGTCTCCTAGACAAGGACCCCAGGTACCCCCCCACGGGTTAAGCTGTGGGTAACCTGGGGGGAGCTTTTTGGGCGAAACATTTTTGGGATGAGGAGGTCCAGCGGAAGATCTGACAATGGCTGGATTTCGTATATTTTTTTTGACCCAAAAGATTTGAATCACAAGTGAGTGCGGGCGGGAGATCCCTAATAAAGGTTAGGGCAGGTCCAACTCATCACACTTCAGCTCAATTTTGAGATCGAACTGGATGATGCGATTGATTTCCCAACTTGCAAAACGGGTCCCGTTCCATATCACATTTCTCAATTGAAATTTTCACGAAATAATTGCAAACTGGGCAGCTTAGACGTTCCATCACCCGCTGCCTCACATGCTGGTAACAGGGTGTACCTACTTCGAATGAGTGATGTGGTCTCCGTCTGTTATAACGATTGGTTATCAATGCCCAAATAACCTTAGCGACAATGTCTCTTTTCGCGAAGCCAATGTGTTCTGCTAAATTGAGTTTGTGTGGGCGGGATGCTGGGTCCGTGTAGACCCTCCAGGATGCGGAACGCAGTTGGGTTCGAATTGACTGATCGACATCCAAAAAGTTGGAATTTCGTTACAAAAGTGTGAAACCGCCAAAATGAAATGAGTATGACCCGCCCTTACCAACCGGTCTTTCAAATTTCAATACTTTTGAACCTCCCTCTTTCAAATGTATACAAAAGCTTTAATCTTGTACCGCATGTACTTTTCCATTTCTTCATACCCGACCACCTTGTGAGAGCTTGCGTTGTTCACAAGGATGGAGACGCGTCGGTCCGCAAGCTCCATTTGGGAATTCAGGACATCTAGGGATTGTGAAAAAAAAACTGAAAATGGATGAAGGCAAGCACGCAAACACAAAATCAGGAAAGTTAGGACATTGCTGACAACTACATTCCCATGGTTATTGGATTGTTAATCACATTTTACATGCGACGCCATCCAACCGCAGTTATTGACACGTGTTGGAATAACCGAAAGGTTATCGTAACATTCCCGAAGGCTCTCCACTCGCTCGTCACTCCATAACGAAGCAACGTGCATGTGTTAGTACCGCAATAGCTCATATAGAGCATTCGGAAGGTCGAGAGTCACCCGAAGGTCAACAGTCGAAGACAGTCAACGGTCGTCCTTGGTAGTTACGCGATGCAACATGGAAACTATTAAGAATAGCAATAGTCGTGGTCACTGTAGCACTGTAATTCAGTTAATAAGAGAATGTACCCCTCAGATTACATGGCTAGCTAGGATTGCTATTTATATCCTTGTATTCCTATCTTATAATCATCTTGTTCTCTTCCAACTTATTAACAAGGTCACTACTAAGACTTCATTGTCTTCTTGCAGACCTGAGAGACTTATCCGATCGAGTACGATCCATCAGTTATAACATCATGCTATGAGAGCTAGAGTGGATTATAAGGCATGTTAAGCTCCTGTTCTTTCTGGAACAACCTCTGTCAGAGGTCCACTGGTGATCCCCGATTGATCCTAGGGAAGGGTTACAGGCACGGCGGCCTGGGGGGTTATGGGCGCACTCACCCGCTACACAAACAAGCCCTTTTATCCCAGTGGTTAGTGACTGGGATTCTGACATGGTATCAGAGCGAAGGTCTCGGGTTCGAATCCCGGTGTGTGCACCTCGGGCATCCCAGTGCGGGGGGGTGTCAGAGGTCCACTGGTGATCCCCGATTGATCATAGGGAAGGGTTACAGGCACGGCGGCCTGGGGGGTTATGGGCGCACTCACCCGCTACACAAACAAGCCCTTTTATCCCAGTGGTTAGTGACTGGGATTCTGACAACCTCTTCATAAATTACTCGTTAAACCATTACAAACTCTGCATCACTATGGCTCTCGAAGTAAAAGCCACTGCAGACTCTCCGGGCCCACCACCAGCAACGCCTATTGCACCATCAGTTGTGACCTCCGTCAGCGCCACTCTCGTCGAGCAGCTAGTCGCACGCATCAACGCTCTTGAGAGCCATCAAGCCATGAGCATTGATGGCTCAAGCTTCGTACGTGGAGTTGCTGGACTCCCTCTCCCTAAAGAAAACCGTCGCGTCAACTCCGAGAGGTCATTTACCTTTGACAACCGTCAAGCTTCAACTCCTGCGCAAGACAGTCAACATCGCTTCAACTCGCAACAATGCAAACAAAGTTCGTTCTGACTTCGAAGCTGAAGACATCACTTCCCTTTGACGGAAAAGACTTATACACGTGGAGCTTCGAGTTCGAGCTCCTTTCGACAACTGCGCAAATCTGGATGTACTACGATGGAAGCTTACTGTTTCCGACGGAAGGCACCATCCAAGAGAAGAACCAATACTACCATGAGTCTCTTCTCGCGTACACCACTCTTCTCCGAAACCTCTCCCCCTCCGAGAAGCTTGGCATTCGCTCCTACAAGTCCGAGTGGGCACTCGCGTACGCTTCTTTGGAGCACCTGCGCAACTCATACATAGCAACGGATCCCGTTACAATGATTCGCCTACTCAGCCAACTTACTTCGGTTAAAATGCATCAAGGGGAGAAAGCGGGACCATAAATGAATCGATGCCGCAATCTGCGCGACCACATCAAGAAGTGCGGCGGAACCGTTCCCGACGACATGTTCATACCACTTGTTGTTCAGGATCCGTCACTTCGAGAACTTACGACGAACTCATTACTCAACTAAACGCAAATCCGCTCGGTAGGATTATGAGCCTTAGGCTTAGCTACCATCTCCAATTCGAATCACTTAAAAAAATAGTCTAGAGAGTGAGAACCAGTTGAAAAAGTCTAGCAGCTGCATGACTAGAATGGTGGAGGAAGTACAAGCATTAGGGCATAGAATAGTTGGAGTTGGGGACTCCAAGAGAACCATGAGAGGGAAGGGGTTCTCCAAGAGCTAGGGAAGGATGGTAGGAACCTTCCTAGCAGCAAGGATGCAACCCTCATCATGAGGTCCTTGAGGTGTCACATGCAAAATCCAATCTAGTTGGATTTTGCCTAGGTGTTGCAACATTTGCAACCCATGCTAGAAACTTCTAGCCACCCCAATCCAAAAGTCAAAGTTGCCTTCCTAACCACCCAACCAAAGATCCCTTTATAGTCATGTCCAAGTAATCACCCAAATTAGATATAACCCCAAAAGGTAATAAGAAATCCAAGTCTTGGAAATCTTGTAACTTGGGCGATCTTGGTCGGAATAAGGCGATCTTGGTATCGTTGGAAAGCTCTGGATTTCTCCTGCATGATCAAGCATATAAACTTGGGGAAAAAACACAGAGATGATAATATCCAACAGCCATGCACAATGACATATGCTCATGCAAACAATGCACGCATGAATAGCACGAGCACTCGGCAGGACGTTAGGATGACATGCACTCAGAATGACGTGCATCCAACAAACTCCCCCTCAGACTAACGGACTGCATGCACACACACTCACACACATGCAAACTCTCATGCACACAATCACGCATGCACTCATGACACTGCTGCCCACACTAGTGCAATGCCATGCCACACATCTTAGCACACTTCCAATGTGCGCTCTCGGGAAGTCTCTTGGTGAGAAAATCTGCCGCCTGCTTGCTAGCCTTCACATGGTGAAGCTCAACAATCCCCTCCTTCACCATCTGCCTCACCCAGTGCCACTTAATCTTCATGTGTTTGTTCTGTTAGAATACATGTTCAGCCCATTTAGGATAGGATTATTGGCCATGCCAATAGCAGCCTCGCTGTCGGAGAAAAGTGGTGTAGGTCGTTCAGCTCCCATGTCTTCCAACAGCTTCCTCAGGAGCACAATCTCCTTGAT